CCATCATCAGAAATACTTCAGATGCTTACTACTGCTTACCCCTTTTTATGACACACACACAGAAATCCCTGAACTTTGGATTTATAATATGAGCATGCACTGGAGTTCAATCTAATGAGCCTTGACTCCCAGAGTTCTGCATGTGAACTAGCTTAGTTGTGCAGTAGGGGACGCTATCAAGGGACCGTGGTGTGGGAACCATAAACTGACTGAGGATACGATGCCCACAACCTGAAGTCCAAGTGTAAGGCACACCTCACTTCTCTGGTTTTCCTCCTGTAGGTCTGCTCAGGAATATCAGATCCTGAGTTTGAAAAGATCATCTTTTGGTCTTCTTGAATGGAGTTCTCAGGATTTTTTTTTTTTTTCGTTCTTACCCAAAGCTGTGTTTGTTTTGAAGACACTCTGAGCTCATGGAAACCCCATTCTAGCTCATTTTGCAAGCAGAAGTACATGATGGATTTCAAAATGAGGAAATCCATGGCTTGACGAGTTTATCTGGCCTCAGCTCACATAACTGAGATTGGTAGATATTTTGTTCCAACCGAATGTTCAGAATGTGTTCTACGTCTCAAACTAAATTTTTATTTCTCACCTCATACCTTGGTAACCTGAAAAAGTTAGCTTCACTTGAATATTAGTTTCTCATGAACAAAAGTATAAGGGGATAGGCATCGTGGTACAGTGGTACAGTGATACATAAGCATCATGGTACATCGTGGTGCAGTTGAGCTGCTGTTTCAGCACCCACATTTTACATTGGAGTGCTGTGTCACGTCCTAGCTGTTCTGCTTTCCATCAAGATCCCTGTTAATGCTCTTGGAAAGGCAGCGGGCACCTAAGTGCTTGGGTTCATGCCATGTGCCTGGGAGTTCCAGATGGATTTACACATTCCTGACTTCAGCCTGATACAGCCCCAGCTGAGAAGTTAAACCAGAGAATGCACGGTCTCTCTCTTTGCCACCACCGCCCTTTGTCTCTCTGCCACTGCTTACTTTGCCATTCAAATAAAGAATCAAATACATGTTTTTAAAATGAAGAAGAGGACTGTTTCTCTGTGAAGTTGTAATGAGAATTGGATAAGGTAGGTAAGTGCGTAGGTGGGTAGGTAGGTAGGTGGGTAGGTGGGTAGGTAGGTAGGTGGGTAGGTAGGTGGGTAGGTAGGTAGGTGGGTAGGTAGGTAGGTGGGTGCTTGTGATGGATAGGTAGGCAACTGTACAAACATGTAATAGCTACCTGATCTTCGTTCCATTTCCCTTCTGTAAACACAGAGATTTCTACAGCCATGTACAAGCACTCCAGAGGACTGGACTTGATTGCCTTCTGCTTTGGATAATTTTTTAATGCATTCGTCCTTGACAGTCATGTAATAACGTGTACAAATAGACAACTACTTCTTGGACCATTTAGAAATGAATTTGGATTTTGAGATCAGTGAAACAGATAACATAAAAACACGTGAAGCCTTTGATAATATGGCTTGTACTACCACAGGAAAAATAGGCTGCAGACAGTTTTTGAATACTGAGTAAAATGATTCATGGAATGACAAAGAATACAACAGCATTCGCATTTGGTATGTAGCCAAAGTGATAATCGGAGGCAAACTAATTCATGCTTCGAAAAATACAAGCAACCAAATAGAATGGGGAAAGAAGTCAATTAGAAAAGAAAATGACAGCATTAGACAAGAAGCATAAACATAATTAGGTCTAACTAAACAGTCGTAGCTAGACTTGAATTAAATCCTAACCAGTGGGAATGAATGGAAGGTTTTATAAGTACTTGTGAAAAAGGTATGCGTTATGTATAGAATTCATGCCAGAGAAAAAATGAAGTTCCAAAGAGATATTTTAGTCCAGCTATAAGGTACGAATTCGTAGTCATCTATTCTTATTGTTTAGATTTTTAAATTTTTTATCAGAAAGGCAGATATACAGAGAAAGTTCTTCCATCCCCCGCCTCACTCACTCCAAGTGGCTGCAATGACCAGAATTAAGCCAATATGAAGCCAGGAATCCAAAGTTTCTTCTGGGTCTCCCATTTGGGTGCAGGGTCCCAAGGCTTTGGGCCGTCCTCCACTGCTTTCCCAGGCCACAAGCAGGGAACTGGATGGGAAATGGAGCAGCCAGGATATGAACCAGCATCCATATATGATCCCAGCAGATCCAAGGCATGGATTTAGCCACTAGGCTATCACACTCGGCCCAGTCATCTATTCTTCATACCGAGGATAGTGTAAAGGTCTTTTTTTTCCCAGAATACATGGTTCACTGATGGATATGGGCTAACTACACATCTACACATACACGTATACCTTCTTCCCTACATTCACTTCTTCCCTACTGTTCCACTCCAGTGGTCACTGCTGGCAGGGTTGGTCTTCACTATGAGCCAAGAATAGCTGAGGTCTGTTTCTCCCTACCCTACCAAATATGCGGTGTTTTGTAGTTAAAATTGATTTTGCGTCTTAGGGACTCGTAACAGGTCACAGATCAATGGAAATGTTTGGCATAACGTGTTGACGTTTGCTCTATGGCCTCTATGGAATACCTTCCTTGTGGCCATCTCATCACCTAATTGTTTGCCAGCACCTTGCCATCCAGGCTTCCAAGGGACATAAATCTTCAGGGAGTCACCAGGTGGTGGTGACACAGGAGGGCTGTCCAGATTCTTGGAGCAGTTTATGGGGCAGCTGGTGGCTGAAGTGGTCCTCCTCAGGCTTTGTAGAGACCCAGGATGCATCCTCTTCCTTGGTATGGAACTCATGACATCAGAATTGCTCCACAGACTTCCTTTTGGATGAGATGTTTAGGACTTTTCTGGTCCTACAACCAACTAACGTGGGCTTTCCTTAACTTGTACTTCCATGTCTTCCTCCAGAATAACTTCCTTGTGTGTCACTGATAGCTTTTCAGCTTTGTGATCCTGAACTGGTTTCAACCAGTCTCCGTCTTGCAATGCACAATGTCATAACTGCCAGACTGGTAGCGAGTGCATTGTGTGTAAAATTCAAAGACTCGGGAATGAAAAACAAAATGCAAATGTTCCAGATTACATAAAAGCCATCAGTCCCCATGTACCACTGCACCCCGCCCCAGCCCTAGTGAAGTATGCAGAAATGATTGGGGAAAACAAACAAACAAACCACGCTGCTGTATTCATTAACAGTTGAATGCATTTGGGTGTGTTTTCCCCATTACTAGGGGAAAAAATCAAGGTTATATGGTCTCACCCAGGCAAATATGACAGTTTTTTTTTAATAACTTAAGTATGTTTGCTAGGCAGTGTAATGGGCCTCCAAAGATGGTCTTCTATCTGAATCCCTGGAAACTCTGAATATGCTAGGTTACAGATGGAATTAGGGTTGCTGATCATTTCCCATTAATTAGTTCATCTTCACATGGAGGAGACTATCTGGGATTGTCTGTGCAAACTCAGGCTGTCACAGAATTCCTAAAATATGAGAGAGAGGCAGGAGAGTCCCTGTCAGATGCAATGTGGAAAAGATTTCACCTGACACTACTAGCTTTGGACATGAAAGGGAGCCACAAACCAAGGAATGTCAGAAACTTCTTTCTAGAAGTTTCTAGAATTCTCTTTTAAACCCCTTTTTAAAACATCTTTGCCAGTACCTTGAGCCCAGCAAGACGTATTTTGAAATTCTGGACTTCCAGAATGTTAACATAAGAATTTTATGTTTTAGCTACTAAGTTGTAATTTGCTTTAACAACTAAAACTGATGTGACATAAATGTGGTTCTCTGGATGAATATTGCCCAGGTATTACTCATGCGTTGTAGACTTTCGTTATAGTAAATGGCTTTTTATTGCCACCTCTTCTGCTTGCTGTATTTCTCCTCTAATATCCTTTCTTCCTTTAAACCCATTTACTTCTAGAAATACTTCTAGACTTCTAAATGCTTCTTTGGGGCTTCCTTACGACTTCCTCTACCATGCCAATTGGAGGCAACTGCCCCTTAGGGGAAGCTTGTCTCCACTGAATTGCTAACACCTGTTAACTTTTTCTCTGATTCATTACCTTGCTACTTTCCACGAAATATTTTCTTTCAATCTCATGGATATCTTCCCTTTTCATCTACTCACTTGGACAATTAAGCACCAACTTCGGTGCATCTTTGTATCTGCACATGCCAGCCTCTGGAAGAAGCTGAGGGAAATGAATGATTTCCATCCTCCAGTATGGATCCCTGTTTGTTTCTGTGTGGTCTTGGTCCGTCCATTCCAGTAGGGCATGAGCTGCGATAGCTCTTACAGTCTGCAGTGTCATATCCTGTATGTGCCCAAAGCTCATGAGCTGAAATGCGTCTTTTATGGCTATTGAACCAAGGTAGAAGGCGATTTCTAAGCTGTTACAGGTTTTAAGCTCTTTAGTTTGCATTCATGATGTTCAGGTTCATTTCTTGTATAGAGTAGGACCCGGTTTTCTCAGTAAATAAGACCATCCACGTGTAGGAGAGATGTCTCAAAGTAAAAGTTAATACCCTGGACTTCGAGGTTCCTATTAAGTTCTTATTTTGACTTATAAATAGCTTTCAAAATAGGATGCATCTAAACTGCTGGACCATGTTTCTCTAATGCAGACATCACGTGGCCTGATGGCCAAGCGTGGGGGAAAAAGGGTGCTCTGACCTGCCTGGCCATGGCTTTCCTACAGTTTGTCCAGCACTTCTCTCTTCATCCAGGAAACTCAGACCCCTGTGGCCTCACTGCGGAGTTGAAGCAAATAAAAAGTAAAATGAAAGGTGGGAGGCAGAACAACCCTTTTGCAAAGACAGCTAAATTGTGGCATTATTTAAGCTGTTCAAATCTGACAAGTTGGATTGGAAAATTGTGTGACCTGTGTATTTAAGACATAAAAGTGCCCACCAGTTGACAGTTGTAAAAAGTCACAGATGGATGTTTTTAACCACGAACGGAGAGAATCTTACTTTATTCTGCCTGATGGTAACTGTTGCACAAATGGCTGTTGTTTTACAGTTTGGTGATTTAAACGCCGTGTCTCCTGGAAATCTGGATAAAGGTAAGAATTGAAAATAACATACATTTTTTTTTTTTTTTTACGGCATGTACCCTGCAGTAGTCTGAGTTTGTGTAAGTGATGTATAAATCCTGGATGTAGGTATAGCAGTCATGTCTTTGGGCATCCTACGTCATATCTCCCTTTCTCCCCATTGCCTTGCCTGCCCTGAGTGAAAGATGTTAAAGGCAGAAAAGTGAATCTAATTACAGTCACAAGCTTTCTTTGAACTTTTTTTGGCTGAAGTTCATCATAGTAAAGTAATAAGTTTTGAGGATAGTCAGAGTTCTGGAGAAAAGAGATTAAAATTCAGCCAGGTGTTTTGATTCAAGGACTAGTGGGCCAAAGAAAGGGTTTCTCAACCTGCTCACCAGTTCACACTTTTCTGTGGGAAAAGACCTGAGAGGTGGTGATCAGTAAGCAGGCTCCACAGCGCTACAGATGAGAGCGGCGTGCCTACTTTGGAAGTGTCTGTGCCAACCTTGCTTCTCTAATAGACGGTGTAGCGGGGACACATGTTACATACTCCCAAAGAGCCTCAGCCAACAATACCACGCAACAAACAGGACAAGGAGGGCTTGCACGGAAGTGAGCTTGAACTAGAGCCCTGAAATGCTCCCCAACAGAAGAGCACAAGCAGAGATGTTTCCATCCACAACAAAAACTCAGGAAGAACAGTTCGAAACTCTTGCACAGAAACAGACACCACAGTCAGTAGAGCACTGTCCTTCAAAAGAGCGGGGAGAGGCAGGATCTTGAAGTGTTAAGGAACTGTCATTGTCGGTGACTTCTGAAGACAGGGATAGAAAATTAAAAGAGCAGAAAGAGTTACGGTTCGTGCCACCAGGGAAGCAGAGGACAGGATGCAAGGTGTGCATTTCTGCTCGGGATATTCAGCACTCAGCAACTGTGTCTTGGTGGGTGGTAGAAACCATTAAAAGAGTTGAATCAGTATCACTCTCCTGTGAAACACCCAGAAGTCTCTTATTGCTTATGTATTCCTTCATTCCTATTTTAGTCATGAGCATTGTGGCAACACAGGGAAGTTTGAACATTAAGTTATAAAAATATTATTGCCATAAATACTAACACTAGAGCAGGGATGGGGAGTGTCTGGCCCAGGGGCTGTAGAAAATTCATCAAAGCATTTGGCCTGGCCCTGCCAAGTCAGCCACAGACAGGACTCAAAATTCAATAAATTAGCGTAGGCTGATTTTAAGCTGACAGTTCTGAATGGCCCTTGAATGCTGTTATAAATATCCAAATTGTCTTTGGTATTAAAAAAAAAAAAAAGGTTCCTCCTGTCCCTGCTATATAGGATTATATGATTTAACCAAATAATTCCCCACAGAATAAATCAATGATTGCTCTGAGGTGTAACTTTAAAGCGAAAAAGGTGGCATGGGAACTCATGCCCACCCCAGAGCAACACCTTTGGTGCCCTGACTCCCAGCCCGCCTCGTCCAACCTTGGGGATTTGACCCTGGCTCCCCACAGGTGCATAAGGCTGTTGTTGCTGAGCCAGATGCAGCTGAAGCACAGCTGGTCTACACTGGAAGATGCTGAACCAAAGCCTTCAGTGAAATCCAGCACCTCATTTTATTCTCTGCAAACCGCATTTCCGTGACCCCCAAATAGGTTCCCAGGAAATGCCTTCATGTCTTAATGGAAGCATTAAACACCTACAGAATTGCGTTGCTTTGTCCACAGGAACAGGAAAAAGGGCTTGGTCTCATAAATTACTTCTTGGTCCACAACCCCAAAGAACCTAGAAACAGACTTCATTAAAACTGACTTGGAACACTTGAGTTTGTTCATTCCATAGTCTCCTTACCATGCCCATCCACAGCCAGGCAATGGAAGACTTGATTCAGTCTTTCTGCAGTCCCCACCTGCTAGGAAATGATTTTTTTTTTCTTTCAGTGCTTTTGTTATCTAAACATTTATTTCTCAGGCACAAAGAGAAAAGTTTATGCAGAGGAACCTGAGAGGCAACGTGGTTTGCTCTAACCTGCTTGATGTGGCTGTGCTGGTCCCAATGAGATAACCACTAAACTGGCATACTCAGTGCCTGAGGACTCATTAAGTCTTATGAGTTTTCCAAATGACAACGTTTTCCCTTGTTAATAAAAACAGGGCTGGCTCTGTTTAAAATTTTTAAAGAATGCAGTATTGGAAACTGAAAGAAAGTGAACAGTCTGTAGTCTAAGCCCTAAGAGACTACCACAATTAAGATTCTATATGACAGGTCTGTGTATTTTGTTGTTTATGTGTAAACAAACATAGAACACAACTAAAGGTGCCAGACATGCTTGAATTGTACTGTCTTGTTCCAGCCGCCTACCGAAATGCTCTCCCTTCCCACCCCACTCTTCCAAAACAACCTCTAATTTTGTCAAAATTTACTTTACTGTGGGAAGGAAAATGGTTACCAATTGGAATAGTTAGGCCTCATCTACAAATATTTCAACAATATCATGTTCCAGGCCATTTCTAGCCAATACACAGATTAATCTCAACTTCTTGAATCCTATACACCATCACTAGGACCTGGCACAGCCACAGGTGTGGGTCCTTAGGTTCCCATCTCTTTTTTTTCTCCAGAACTCTCCTTGCCCCACTTGATAGGAAAGAAAATCAAGGGCCGTTCATTGGAAGAACTCACTAGCTAAGCTCTTCTTCTTGGAGTAACTCCCCTGCCCCCACATGGTAAAGCTAGACTCAGTGTAACTTAGAAAAAGACCAACTTGCTCTAGGTAAAGGGAAATGTGTTGCGCAGTCAGTATACCTGACACGCTGGCTAATTGAACCAAATGGAATATCTGCCTCTATGCAAGCCACTCGAAAAAGCCAATGAACAGCAATAGACGTGTAGACACATTTTAGCTAATGGGAAGGTGCGTGTTGTAACTGTGTGTCTTTGCGTGTTTGTTACACTGTGGGCTGTTGCATGTGGACATTTTCTCCCTCTCTGCCTTTGAACTTTGTACATGCTCAGAAAAAGCAAATGCCATTCCATTATAACAGTACTGTCATTCTTATAAAATATGCCAAAATGTGGAATAACAGGAACTACTTGAAAGCACTAGCTATTAACACGATCTGTGTTGTTGATGCGAATGCAAGTTCATCAGTTTTAATCTGAAGGCGTTGCCTCTGTCTTAATAATTTTTGATCATGAAAATGACAGTTTACTCCGTACTCCGACCTGCCATCCTGTTGGAGGTGTTTATCCGTGCAGTTGCATTGGGAACCAGCAAAAACTCACCAGCAGCACAAGCCAAAGTTCCATTTAGCATAGCTTTTTTTTTTTTTAAGGCAATGGAAAATTTTTTTCCTATCTTTTTTATTGGACGTTAGCATTTTCAGCTCAGTTCAGTCCCTGAAAGTCAGCAAAGTATACCAAAGCGACTACTTTATGATTGCATAAATTATACTGTTACTTATGTGGAAACTTCAGGAAATTTCCAAGGGTCTTGTTTTTAAGAGCTATCCACGGTGTTGCCAAAATAAATGAGCTTTGCAACGTTTGAAAACATCCTAGATGCCTCCATACTGCACCAATAGGATTAAATCCATTGAATAGAGAGAAAAGCCAAGGGCTCTGTCCACCGGAAAGAGGGAAGTGGCCTCTGGCCCCAGTCGTCCAGGTGTTTGTGGAACATGTGTTGACTTCGCTGTCCGGTTTGCCTTCTGGTCACGTTGCTCTTGGTGTTGCTTGTTTGTACAGATGAAGGCAGTGAAGTGGAGAGTGAGATGGACGAAGAACTGGATGATTCTTCAGAGCCTCAAGCCAAAAGAGAGAAGACGGAGCTAAGCCAGGCCTTCCCTGTGGGCTGCATGCAGCCGGTGCTGGAGAGCAGCGTGCAGCCCAGCCTCCTGAACCCCATCCACAGCGAGCACATTGTCTCCAGCACTCAGACTATCCGACAGTGCAGTGCCACGGGAAACACCTACACCGCAGTCTAGGGGACAGGCCAGCGTGTTCTTCTAGCTTGCATTAGCCCTGCTGATACCCGGCTTAAGTTGAAACGTGAATAAGCCTGAAGGTGGACTGTTGTCAAGTTCTGTCTGTACTGAACATTACCTTTTTTGGAGTTGTGGAATGGAATGGGTGTATGTATTTTACAAGGTCTTTGTTTTGTTTTTTTTTTAACATAAACAAATTATTTGCCTCTTAATAATAAGAGTTTTTTTTTTCCTTTTGCCTTTAGTTTCAGGTGTCAAGAAGGATTTTTTACAACACTTAATGTCGATTTTTTTTGTTTCCTTTTAATAATTTACATTTTTTTGGTAGCTGAAAATATTGTTGATTGTTAGTCTTGGTGTATGATTTTATGTGTAAGTTTTTTTTTAAACTAGATGCACTTCTGTGAACTATCAAAAGAAATGAATTTCTTTGATTGACACTGGAGGCATGCCCATTCGACAGCAGATGCGTCAGCTTTGCTCCTGAGAGGTGCTTGTCATCCGACAGACCAGGAGACACTATTTTGCTAACTTTTTTGTAGTTTGGCAAGAGAATACAGAGCCTTTTTATTACCGTGCTAGAGGGTTGGGAAAGGTCATTTATTTTTGTCTGAAGAAAAACCGAGCCGTGCATTTAGCAGTTGAGAGTAAATGACAGAATTCCAAGAGAGGACGCTCCCATGTACTTGCTTTGTGCACGTAGCTCTGAAAGCATGTTCACCACGCAAGCTTCCGTTAACCATTGAGTCATAACTCTTCTTTGCGTACCAATCCCTCTGTTTAAAGACTACTGATTCTGTATTTGGGACCACTGCACAGATGCATCCTGCTGGTGAGCGGGGCTGTTAGTTAGATACTGAAGCTGAAAAATGACTTGACTTTTTTTTTTTTTTAATGTACATGCTACTTAACGCTGAGCTGGACATACAGGAAAACCATTCCATTTGGATGACTTTCTTTTATTCCAGGTCATTTTTTTTTTCCTAATAGTAGTTCAATGTGCTGCTATTATAAAAGAAAGTTTATAGAGTGCAAGGAATGTAGCAACCTGCATATTGTTATTTCCTTCAAAAAAAAAAAATCTCTCCTGGTTTCTAAAGTACCTGGATTTCCATTTGAACCAGAACCTGAAGGCAGTGTAAACTGGCACACCTCCTTGTTGCTGTTACCCAACTCTGTAGGATTTGGATAGGTGGCTAGATGGACCATTGCCATTGAAGAATCAGGGATCACCATACCTCGGCTATTACATGGTGCCTTAAAACAGAACTGAAGCTAAGGTTTAGTAAGGTTTCTTCCGTTCATGTAAGTGACTCTTCAATCCATTTGACAAGTGTGCCTGTCATTTTCAGATTCCTGAAATAAGGACGGGTTCCATGTTCCTCCGAGGAGATGTAGGGGGGAAACCAAGCAAAATACAGAAGATGAAAATCACTTTTCCTCTCTTGAGTTGACCGTGAACCGATTTTTTTTTATTATTATTATTATTAGAGCTGATTATTATTCCTTGGTTACAAATGAAATTGCTTAAGGATATGGAGTAGCAGGCTAGTTTTAAAACCAACTTGTTAGCGCGAAATTACATATATGTTTTAGACCCTTCTCATCTAATTACAACGCTAGAAAGTGAACAGAGTAAGCAGGAACTTATCGAAGTGCATCTTTTCAATATCGATGTTTCTGTCTGTGTGTCTAGGTGTCTGTGTGTCCACGTACACACCCGAGAGCCCGGTGTCGGGGTCAGGGAGGGACAGGTGTCTGCTGTGTGTCTTGCCAGTTCCTGGAGAGGGCGCGCCCACCCCCTCTTTATTTGCATAGGAAGCACTCCATTTATGAATCCCAAGGACAACAAAGGCACATCCATTCGTTGAAGTAGTTGTAAAAGTCAAATTAGAAAACATAAAACTATGAAAGGAAAGCACAAAATGATGGACGGATTAGTGACGAAGCCCAAAGTCCAGATGTTTATCATTCCCGTTGCGTGGGGCTGGCGGGACAGGGATGGAGGGTTGGGGATTAGAGAGAAGACAGCGGGCCAGTTGGTGGAGTAAAAAATAGCAAATGGTTCATCTGCTGACGCACAGTGTCAAGCTGGTGCTGCTTGATTACTTCACAGGGCTCAGATAAGATCCACAAAGTTTCTTAGGTAACATTTCGATATTATCAATGTAACTTTTAAGTGGATTCCAATGTTGCATTATACATCCAATTCCCGTATTTGCAGCCTTTGCTAGTATCCTGCTGTATCACCTGCATCTAATGTCTTAAATGAATGTGCCCCTTTCCCTCCCAGAAAAGAAGCCCGTAAGTTGACTGTCTCTCTCTCTCTCTCTCTCTCTCTCTCTCTCTCACACACACACACATACACACACACACACACACACACACACACTGCAAGCAAAAGGCCACGCACTGAGTTCTTGTGCATTGGGGAATGTTTACAGATCAAATTACAATCAAAACGTCAAGACACGGTCTTCGTGTTGACTTTCCTTTCTGAATTTTTTCTGTTTCCTGTCACCTGCCTCCCATCTCCAACAACCGAATGATATTTGCATTGCTGGTCTCCTCCTGTGTATTGAACAAATTGGAATGTGTGTGTTGTCACTGCTTCCTTTACCCTTGTGCTGGATACGTGTGCATTGTCTGGCAGTCCAGTAGTAACAGACAGATGTACACTCATACGAGCTAGGGATTGGGCACCCTCTGGGATTCGACATTTCTTCCAGTTATTCATGGCTTGTTCTGAATTAGAAATTAACATCATTATGTCTGACCGGACTCCAGAAATATATTTTGATCACCGTAATAAATACATAGGATTATTAATTCTTTGTGATGAGTATAGATAGTTTTGACCAATACACAAAGAAGAGCTTTTATTTATGCTGCTTTGACCTGTTTTTAGTCTACAACCAGACACACTCACACGTACACACATTCACTCATGCACAGACATTTTCACCATCTTGAATTTTAGTTGTGGAAAATACTAGAAATATAGTCATTGACACATTTGAGTGAATTGACGCAGGGGTATTTATTGAACTTTCTATTTGTTCAACTTGCTGAACATTCTATTTCCAATTTTTTTTTCTTTTCCTCCGACTCACTTTCCTAAGGAGTATTAGACACTAATGCCCTCATGATAGATTTATTGACACATGATACAAGTGCATATTTTTAAGGACGTGTTGGTAATTCTTGACATTGTAGTCAAATACTCATTATGAAACATGCCTATATATACCAAGTGCTACACTTTGTATGATCAAGGATACAAGGAAAAATTATATGGGCTACTTTTTAGTTTCAGAAAACGATTTCCATATGATAGGATCAAGCATCCTGGACATAGCTTGATCCTGAACACACTTTGAGAATCGTGCTCAGAACATTTGCAGTCATGAAACCAGTGAACAATAGGGTGAAATGGGTGAACCTTCTTCTTGGAACACAGGGCTCAATTTTCAGTTTCTCTTTTGATATCAAGTTGCTGGTCCGTCCTGCTTTTTTTAAATATATATATACATATAAATATATATATATATATATATATATATACACACACACACATATATATAAGATTTTCATCCAAACTGTGTTTGGACTAACTGTTTAAGTCTTACTGCCTTTTCAAAAATCTTTCGTTTCTGTGCTTTTTTACATGTGCCATCTAGCACGATTAATGCATCTGTCTTGAGGGGGGCGGGGGTGTACTTTCAAAAGTCAGATTTCGAAAATGGTTTTAACCTTGCATACCTAAAATTCGTCACGTGCAACACTTGACTGCCTTTGACTTGTAACAGACAAGAAAAGCTGAGGGCGTTCTTGGACAAGGAGTGCCGATTCAGTGCCGTCACCATGAACCTTTGCAAATTTTGACAAACTTCAGATGATGTATTTGAAACGTCTAAAGTAATACTGTGCTTGAAACATTAGTGTAGGAGGGAAAACAATACGTGTGTCACTAATGTGGGTCCATGAGTAGACTGTAAAAACTGGGCAAATCTCCCTTATGTACAATTTGAGGCAGTGGTTGGACACAACCAATTGACCTTGGCAATAACTTCTCCCCTAGAATTGTTGGTAAGAAAGTTTACAAATATTCCAAAAATCAAAATCATAGCATTGATGATCTGTGTGAGTCACGCAGCAACATGAAGGGGTGGGATGTGAGGTTGAAAATTGGCCTAAGTCAGAACAACCTCCAAGTCCATGGTTAGTACAGATCAGCAAGTAGGATCCTATAGTTCTGCAAGCTTGGTGATTGAAAAAAGAAACACTGGAATAGAAGCATTAAAACTCAGCGCTTATTCTTCTAGTATTAAAAAAATGCCCTTTTGATGTAATGCCTTGCATTAACCCTTTGAGCATTGTAAGATATACAGTGGGGGACAAAAGCCTTTCAGATCATTTATTTGGACTTAGACCGGTAAAATATACTCTATATCCAAATGTCTAACAATGTTGGATTTTTTTTTTTTTTGTAGTTTTTGCTTTTCTTCTAAAGGTCGGGGTGGGGGTGGGGAGGAGGAGAAAGTGTTTCCAGGCCAAACACTTGGCATTTTATAGTCAACACTTCATTTTTCTTCAAGAGGGCTTGAATTCCCAAATATTCACTGCCATCTGAGTAAGTGTACTGTTTACATAAAAGAATAAATCAGCTTTTCAAGCATCACATCGTGACTCCTTAGTAAAGGGGGACAGACCGGGGCGCACGTGCGTGTGCCCCCGCCTCCCGACTGGCTGTCCGCATACCCAAGGTAGCTAGATTGTCTTGACAAGCTAGGATAAAGCAAGGGTTAGGCTTTCTTTTTCTTTCCCCAAAACAAAACAGAGAAGGTCTCATTTATTTAGCTTTAGGAAGTACAAGTTGAAGCCTTAGGAAGAAACAAGTTCCAGTGGCTCAAAAGGAGCTGAGCCCTTGGTGGGGGTGGGAGGCACTTAGGGCGTTTGGAGTTAGACGGTTCATAAAATACTGTTTGGGAGTCTCTTACAGGGCCTAACTTTACCTATGCTCCAAACTTTAATGCTTTGCCAGGAAGTTTATATAGACATAGAATGGACAGCAAAGCCCCTGATTTTATGCTCGCATGTCAGGAGATG